TAAGCTTTGGATTTGATATTTTTTTACTATGCAAAATCTGAATAATAATACGACCGATATTTTTTAGTATAAATGATTGAACTGGAAGTCAAAATTCCAATGAGATTTTATAAAAATAACATGATATATTGTTTTAATCATTATTTAACAAAAAATTTTCACAATTTATTTTTACAAGTGGCCAAATTGATAAAACAACCAAATAATACTCGAGATCTTCATAAAAAATATTCGATATTGTCAATTTGATTCACTATACCCAATTTAAATTTAAATTGATTAGCAAATAACCAAAATATAATTGCAAAAAAATTTCAAAATCAAATATTACATAATCACATTGCAAATTACCAATTGATTAATTTGTAATAAATAAGTACGAAAAAAATATAATAGAATCAGATTACCTAAAAATCGTGTGAATTGCATAGAGTAAATCTTTGTGCCTTTGTTAAAATATTTTTCATATCAAATATTTATGGAATTGATCTAGAATATACTTTGTTCGTCTTCCCCTATAAATTTAGTGTTGAGCGATGTTTTCTACTCATCCTGTTTTCGATTTAAATTTTTATTACACACATAGATGATCCTAATTATTTGAAGGATAGGGCTATGCGAGCCTCAACGTTGGAGGTGGTTGAGTATATATGAGTAGATGACGTCTTTGAACGTGGCTAATGTTCAAATATTCTTGAACTATGATAATACCTGCAAATCTGATTCCAATAATGATTTTTTGTCCGATCTCCATACCCTCGAGTTTTTTAGATGTTCTGGAGTGCCGAACCATGAGTTGAGTCTTAAGATAGGAACTCCAGTCATGTTGTTGCGGAATAGTGACCATTCTATGAGGTTGTGCAATAGTACTACATTGGTTGTCACAAAGTTCTTCATTCATGTGAATTGAATGTAAGGTATTGATTGGATCTAATGTAGAAGATAAGGTGTTGATACCTCAAATGCCTCTAACACCTTTCGACTTTAGAGTACCTTTCAAATTTCAAGAGAGACAATTTCTCGTAATGGTTTTTTTTTCTAGTATTCGATGATATGCACGTATACAATATTAAATTATTATAAGTAACATGTATGTACTTAATATTGAAATTATAAATTGAATAATATTATTACATTTTAAAATTTTATCATTAATAAAAATGAACATTATAAAAGTATTCAACTTTTTCACTATATTAATTGCATAAAATAAAATAGATAATGTAGTTTTTCTAAATCTTGATCCAAACCGTAATTATCTTAAAAAGTATTATTATTATTATTATTATTATTATTATTATTATTATTATTATTAGTATTATTATTACTATTACGACTCCCGACGGGGACCGGTCGGGGTGAGTTGTTTGGACTGGGTAGCAAGAGAAACACGGTCAACCCGATCGATTCGAGTACTGACCTGGCATGATCAACTCGGTTTGACCCGGACATTAATTTTTATTTTTATTTTTATTTAATTTTTTCTTCTTTACTTTTTTTTTAATAAAGTTATATTTATGTGATAAATACTTGTGGCAAAATACAATTTTTATTAAGATTTTGAAGTATAAAATTTACATATAATTTTTTTCAATTATTTTATGTATCGATATAAAATAAAAATAATATAAATATAATTTATAATTTTATAGAATTAATTACTCAGTTCAGAAATTATTCAGATAACCCGATGGTTCGACCGGTAATCCGGTGTCTTTCCCGGCTCAATCATCAATTCAAATATTAAAACTATAGTTGGATGACTTCAAGATCAATTTTTTCGTTTTCATTGTTTTAATTTTTTTTTCTCTCATACTTTCTATTTTTGTTATTGTGGCTTTCATCGTTTGCATTACTATAGTCCATTAAATCTTATATAAAGCATAGTTCTCAAAACCGAACCGGACCGACCGGTTCGACCGGTTCAATCGGGAACCGACCATAACACCGGTTCGGTTGGGGTATAAAACCACTAAGCCCAAGAATTGTTCACAAACCGTTCAAACCGGTTAAAAATCGGTAAAACGGGAACGGTTTGTTGGCCAACGATTTTCAATTTTATACTTTAAAATTTGGACTGAAGATTGATATTTGAACTTGTGACTCCAAAATGGACCAGCCCAAACTTACTTCTTTCAAATTGGAAAGCCCAACATATGATGCAGCCCATTAACGTTTAATATGTTACTAAAAGCTAACTACACGGTTTTGCTTTTCTAACCATCTTGGCCCATTAACACCTCTAACTGGAGGGTATTGCATTTTTCCATTTCGAGCAGTGGCACTTCAGTAATATTATTTAAAACACAAGGTCGATGATATAACGTGCTATAAAAATATATAATAATCTAGAAGGCACGCATCCCAGCACCTCCACCCTTTGTATAAAATCTCCTCTCTCATCTCCCACGCACTTGTTCTTCCCTCTCTCTCTAACCTCTTCCCTCTCTCTCTCCACAGCCTCCGCCGGCAACCTCATCTCCTCAGCCGTGAAGCCTCCTCAGATCCGCCGGGTCTTGTTCGGATTTCTGATTTTCTCATCAGTATCTTTCGAAATCCCTAATTCCGATCATTTCGGATTTTCAATTTCTTTGCGCCTCTCTTATTATATCCTCCGTGATTTTTGTTTTTGGAATTTGGGATCAAAAATGCACAAATTGTTTCAGCTCTCTTCACCCTGAACTGAACTTGTGAATTCTGAAATTTTGATTTTTTTCTTTTTCATATTTTTTTCTTGAAAAGAACAAAAGGAAAATTAAAGCCATTTGGATGCGCTTTATTTTCCCTATTCCGTTTTGGCGTGAATTGACCCTATTGCCCTTCAAAAATCTGCCGTCCCATCGAAAATCAACCGACGGTCAGGATGAGTTATCACTCCCGTAGGATACTGACACCTAGGGCCTCACGCAAGCGTAAGGGGATGGAGGCCCTACCGTTTCCCACGTCATCCAAACCGTTAATTTCTCAAACCGCCGTCCATCGCGGCGTTAGTTTCACAAGCCAGGCGACGACGTCGTACAAGGGGTCGGAGCCGCTGCCGCAGCCGCAGCCGCTGGCATCGAACCGGCTCCTTGCCGGCTGCTTGGCACTCGAGTTCCTGACCAAGGGGACGTTGTTCGGCCAGAAGTTTGACCCGGGCCGGGCCGAGGCCTCACCTGTGCGTGCGGCGGAGGTGAAGAGGAACAAGCTGAGCCAGCCCAGTAAGGAAGCCGAGCCGAGTGGGAAGGCAAAGCCGAAGCCGGAGAGCTACATTGAGGTGGCAAATCTGCTGAAGAGCGACGGGGTCCACATCCCCGGTATTGTCAACCCCACGCAATTGGCCAGATGGATAGAGATGTAGACGTGGATGGATCTCATTGGCTGCAATTTGCGTGGTTTACGTGGAAATTGGATTGCTGTACATACATAGCTCAGAATTAGAATGTATGTGTTGTGTTGTCTTGATTCATAATCCTTTCCTGGTATTGAGCAAAATCGGTTGAGTTACTGATTTTCTTTTCATATGATGGATGTTAATTTCAATATTTCGTCAAATCTATTTGTCTGTTAAAGCGGCCGATTAAGAATTGGGTTTCTTCAGCTGTCAATTTAGGGATAATTCAATTTTTGCCCACCAAACTATGATATGTTGAATTGTGAATCGTGTACGTAATTTTAGAAATTTCGGTTTACATTCTTAACATTGATCGTTTTCCACGAGCTGGAGCTTGATATATTTTATTTGGTTCTTGATATCTTGATAGTTACAGGGCTAATTGCAGTTTGTCATATCGTAAGTTGAAGAAAAATTGGTTTGATTTAGTTATAATTGATTTTTTTAAAGCTCCATTAGTTAGTTTTCTCAAAATTAATTTTAAGTGAAAAAGAAATAATAAAATTTATTATTAAATATAATTATTGATGAATGAGAAATAATAATTACACTTAAATAATATTACTCCTATTGTATTTAAATGTCATTTTGGCTTTATCAACTATGAAACAAAATAAATGTCGTTTGGATCTTTTGTACATATTTTTTCATTATTACCCTCATTTAATTAATAAATACATTACGTCTTTTCATATTCTCTTTATCTTTTTTTAAAACAACAACAATCCCTATCTTCATTAATGACGGTTATTATTAACAAAAAAAATTATTCTTAATTAGTGTGCAATTTTTCAAAATGACACTTATTGTGAATAGGAGGGAGTAATAAAGAGAGTTTGAGAAATCATAATAATTAAAATTAAAATTAAAGTTGTTGTGTATGATTTTAGGCCCCATTTGGTTGAATTTTCTTACGAGGATTGATAGTTTCTTAAAAGCTTTTTCCACTATGTATCTTGAAAAAAATACCGTATTAGGTTCTTCGCTTTAACTTTGTACTGCGTAGATATGCAACTATATCGATTACTGACCATAGTTTTTTGTGCATATTTTTAAATCCAGTTTATGAGTTCTTGTGAATGATTCTTACGTTGATGTTTGCAGCATTTTGCTTATTCCAACTCATGGGAAGATTTATCACATTTTGCTTAAATTTGAACCTATTATCCGGCCTACCGTGTCTACCTGCTCCAAATAAAGAAAATAGAAATTAGAACAAATGTAAGGAATATATTTGTGAAAGTGGCACGAATTGTGTGAGTCAAAATTAAATTTACTTGAGGCTACTTCAAGAATTAATTTTCAAACGATTAAGAAAATAATTAAAGTCATCTATCCCAAAACAAAACAAAGGTTCATGATTATAGCATGTGTTGTCAGAAAACAAAGGTTCATCTCTCAAAGGTTGTGATATA